GAGTTGATAAAGACCCACACTGACCCTACAGGCCAAGGTAGAACTGTCCCCGTGAGTTTCTCAGACTGTAACTCTATGGGAGTAGAGAGCCCCATCTTTCTCCCAAGGAGCGGCTGGTGGTTTTGAACTGTTGACCTTGCAGCCCAACGAATAACCACGACAACACCAGGGCTCCTGAAAGCTTGAGAGCTTCGATCATGAAAACCTCCATTAAGCCCTTTAATTGAAGGGAGAGGAAAGGATGTGGTCTAGGAGCCTCACTCCTTGGGCTCAAATCCTGACCCTGCGCCCTGGCGGAGGGGGTCTTAAGCAAGCGAGGACCCTTTCCTTTTTTGCTTTCGAGTTTGAAAAGTGAGCACAGGAACCTGGCCTCTCAGGCCTTGTTTAGGAGTCCCAGTGGCCTAGTGATTACAAGTTGGGCTGTGATTCGGAACGTCAGCAGTTCAAAACCACTAGCAGCTCCTCGGGAGTAAGACGGGGCTCTGTAGTGCTGTGCACATAGTTACAGTCTTAGAACCCCACCAGATATGGCAGAGGTTTGGGTTTAGGTTTGGGTTTTCCCAACCTTGTTTGGAAGATTAACCCTTTCCAGACGACTCCATCCTCTGCTTTGAACATTTGGGTTGAAACCATATCTTTTCAGTAATGGGAGACATTTGGAATGAAATGGAAAAATCAAATGCTTTGAGGGCATGTGGACTTTGCTACAATTAATGGGAGATATATGTCTTGGGGTGTGAGGGGGGTGGGGGGTTGTCTGTCTGATGCTGGGCTGGTGGGATGAGACCCCTTTCTTCAGATCCACGCAGCTATACAGGTGTCCACCAGATGGCAGCATATGCTCAAATGAGATGTCCAACACCCACCACCCGCACCACCACCTCATCCCACCCCTGCCACACACACCCTCCCAGGCAGAAAATACAGGTGGGCACTCTATCACCCACAAGGAACCCTGGTGACGAGGTGGGTTATGTGTTGGGCTGCTAACCGCAAGGCCAGCAGTTTGAAACCACCAGCCACCTCTAAGGAAAGACTTGAGGCTTGCTTGTCCCATGAAGATGGACAGTGTCAGAAGCCCACGGGGGCAGTTCTGCCCTGTCCTATTGGGTCACTATGTGTTGGAAGTGAGCTTGGATTGGGTTCCTCGCAGAATGATTAAAAGAGACGGTTGTGTGCAAAACACCCGCTGCTGTTGCTGTCTTTAAGCGCTGTGTTAGTCTGGGTAGACTAGAGAAACAAATCCATAGAAACTCCTATGTGTGCAAAACAGTTTTATATAAAGGGTAATTGTACATTAAGAAAACATCCCAACCCACTCCAGTCCAAGCCCATAAGTCTGATATTAGCCCATATGTCCAATACCAGTCTATAAAGTCCTCTTCAGACTCATGAAACACATGAAATGACCCCGAATGCAGATGATCACAGGCCAGTGGGTAGAAAGTCTTGTGGATCCAGTGGTGGTAGAAGCACCTCAGCGCTGGTAGGGGTCTCCCCGTGGCTCCTCCAGTTCCCAGGTCACGGAGTCTATCAGCGTGGTGCCATGCATCTTGTCAGTAGAGCGTCTCTCTGGGAGTGAGCAGAGAGAGAAAGTGTCTCCCATCTCCAAGGAGGAAAATACAGCAGTTCTCAGAATCCTCAGGAGAAGGCCAGGCCCACACAGAGGCCTCCTTGGCTATGACCTGACTGACAGACTAGACTCCACCTCTTCCCTCTTAATCCTCTCAAGTCCCAAATTGACACCAGGTTATGCGAGCAACTACCACAAGCACCAAGTAAAGTCAGATGTATAACGATGTATAGGATGGAGCAGAACTTCCCCATATGGTTTCGTGGGCTTTACAGGAACAAATTGCCAGGTCCTTTTCCCATAGAGCCCGTGGATAGGCTTGAACTGCCCTTTTTTCCATTAGCCGTCAATCGCTTCGCTTTTACACTGTTAGGGGTCCTCTTAAAATGCCTGACTCACAGCCAATGCTCCATCCATAGGAATTGTCTCTACGTCTTGCCTTGTGACCCTTTTTTCAGCAACCCCTTGTGAGGCCTCTAGAGGTAGACCAGCACAGCTATTGGGATCATTAGGAGACCCTGCTTGGAGGGGAGAGTTTCCCTGAAGGGCTCAATTCCGGTTCTTGCCACTTACTGGCTGTGTAAGTAACTCAATTCTCCTCACTGGGCCTCGTGCCCCATACCTGTAAGCATGCAGAATCCTATTGGGCTTGTTAGGTTTAGAAGTGTGGCTTTGGGTGTCAGGCACCTGTCAGGTGAGGTACTGACAAGACTGAGTCTCCGTCCCAATTCTGCAGGCTGGAAGCACTACCGAGAACCACACTGCTAAGATCATAGTTTTGTTCTGACGTCACAGGAACATCACATACGCAGGCCAGAATTTGCCTCACCCACCCACCCCCGTTCCTTTGTGTTCAGGCCAGTTGCCAACCTTCAAAAAGCACTGACTTGTCCATAGCGACTGCCTCTTCTGGCACCGCCGTTCCCTCTGCTGGAGCTTTAACGACCAGAGCTGTGTGGCCACAGTCCCCACCCAGCCCACTCGCCCCACGCAAGTTGTCTGCCAGCCCATGCAGGCACTAGAACTAGAGAGAGTGGCATTCTGAGCGATGGTTCTCTCTCCAGGGAGGTTCCTCCGGCCGGGGCACAGCCCTGAAGGGCAGGTACGATGCCGAACTGGTCATCTTCCTGAGCTGCTTCAAGAGCTATGAGGACCAGGCGCCCCTCTGTGCGGAGATCCTCAGTGAGATGAAGACTCAGCTGGAAATCTGGGGGACAGACCCCATCCCCGGCCTGAGCCTTGAGCTTCCTGAACAGGACACACCTGGAGCACTGCAGTTCCAGCTGGTGGCATCTGAGGATCCTGAAAGCCGGGTGGATATTAGCCTGGTGCCTGCCTTTGATGCCCTGGGTGAGGGGAGGCCTATCCGTGTGGGGGGAAGGGGAGGGGGAAGAGCAGTCTGAGATTCCTGGGAGGGAAACAGCTTCCAGGTCTGGCCCTGCCACTGTCAGGGCCCTCTCCCCAGCATCTTTGGAGAACTTCCTTTCTGCAGAAGGCTGCCATTGTGCAGAATCTTGTATTTCATCCCGAGACCGCCCGAGCCATTTTAACAGGCCCTTCCATAATCAACTCATCTTTAGAGACCCATAAAAATGTCTCGGTGCCCTCGCCTGTAATTTGGAGACAATAATCATGACCTGGTAAAGCTGTTTGGAGACTTATACTTGTTCCTCTATAGATAAACTTAGCACCCACCACATGATAAGGGTCAGATGGGCATTTGCTGTTAGCAGGTTATGCCTTGGGGTGCTAACTGCAAGGTCAGCAGTTCAAAACCTCCAGCTGCCCCTAGGGAGAAAGACGACACTCTCTACTCCTGTAAAGAGTTACAGACTCAGAGACCCCCACAGGGACAGGTCTACCCTGGAGGGTTGCTATGAGTCGGCAGGGACTACACAGTCACACGCATGGGAAGTGGAGAAAAGAATAAATACATCGAAGGGCTCTGAGTTCAACACTGCCTCTGAGCCTGTTATCCTGGATTCCTCTGTGCTGGACGCTCGCTCAGGGAACACTGAGAGCCAAGCCTTAGCTCTACCACACAGCTGGCTTCTCCGAGTTCTCCCCCCTCCCTCCCATTGCCCCAAGCTGGGCTCAGTGCCAACGCTGCCCTCCCACCCACAGGACAGCTCCACCCTGGCGTAAAACCTGAACCCCGGGTCTACTCTGCTCTTCTCAGCAGCGGCTCCCAGCGGGGCGAGCACGCTGCCTGCTTTGCAGAGCTACGGAGAGAGTTCGTGAACACCCTCCCAGTCAAACTGAAGAACCTGATGCTGTTGGTCAAACACTGGTACCGCCAGGTAAGGACAAGCCCTCCCTCCAGGCTCAGGACAGTGTGATCTCTGCTTCGAGATCCTGCAGGTCTTCTCTTAACTTCATTTAGTGTTAAGAGGAACTGTCGGGTCATACCCTTTGTCCATTATTCTCCACTGGGTGAGCTGCCTTCTTGTTGATTTCTCAGTGCTCTTTATATATGCAGGGTGCCAACGCTCAGTCAGTTAATACGATGCAGCTGTCTTTCCCCAGGCTCTAACTAGTCCATTCACTTTCTTTAGGGGTCTTTGACCATCAGAAACATTGGCGTGTTCATGTAATCAGACGTATTCATCTTTTCCTTGTATGATTTGTGCTTTGTGTGTCTTATTGAAGATATCTTCCCCAAGCCTGTCTTCCTAAAATGACTCTCTTATTTTTTTTCCATGTGTAAGGCAGACAAAATAATAATAATTTGTAAAGTATCAAGGGCTCATGAGGGAGGGGGAATGAGGAGCTGATACCAAGGGCTTAAGTAGAAAGCCAATGTTTTGAGAATGATGAGGGCAACGAATGTACAAATGTGCTTGACATACAATGCATGGATGGATGGATTGTGATAAGAGTTGTATGAGCCCTTGATAAAATAATTTAAAAACAAAACAAAAATAGTTTCTAAAGCTCTCACTGCCACGGAGTCAATTCTGACTCAAGGTGACCCTCTAGGACAGGGTAGAGCTGCCCCCGTGGGTTTCTAAGACGATCACTCTTTGCGGGAGTAGAAAACCCGGTCTCTCTTCTGCGGAGCGGCTGGTGGTTTTAAAACGCAGGCCCGGCGGGCCGCAGCCCAAAGCATTGCTAACTGCTAGAGTTGTGTTTATGTTTGGAGCTATAACCTATGTGGAAAATTCTGTGTATGGGATGAAGCGATCTGTAGTGTGTAACCCTGCCTCCCCCGCCCCATAGGCAGCTGTGCTTGTGCACACTCTTGTGCATCAGGCGGGGTGTACCCCTGCCAGTGCCAGGGACAGGGAACGGACCCCCCAAAGCCTTGGGACATCTGGCCAGATCCACTTGTTGGGCTTACTCATCACAGAGCAAGGTGGAGTCCAGAGAAGCCCTGGAGTCTGATTCTGACCCAGACACGACTTACGGTGCAGTCTTAAGCAAAGGCTCACCCTTCTGTGCCCCCACTGCTTCTACAGGAGCATGGGCTTCTCTAAGTCTCCCCAGCTAAAAAAGACTCCCCCAGGACAAGAAAGACCACTCATAACCTCACACAATCCAAGCGCACTGCCGTCAAGTTGATCCTGACGACGTCAGACTGACTCCGGCCCGCCTGGGGGTCAAGTCCTGGCTCTGCCGCGTAGTGGCTGTGTGATGGGGGCAAGTTACATCACCCCTGTGACTGTTTCCGCTTCTCTAATCAGGTAGTTTACTGGTTAGAGGTATTTTGGAGATATTTTAATGCCATCTTTCCTTTAAAATATTTTCTTTTCTTTAAAAACCATACCTCTAGGATCCGATAGCATGATCGGCTTTGGGGGGGTGGGGCTATTAGGCAGGGTTCTCTAGAAAAACAAAACCAGAACACTTTTTATTATCTATATAAGGGCATAGGTTTATTACAGTGAGAAGGAATACGACAGCTAATTAGTCCACACAGCAGTACAGAGGGCTCAGTTCAACTCACTTCCATGGAACAGTTAATATACCGGAAGTCCTTCAACTCACGTGGGCTGCCAGGTCCAAGGTCAAGGAAGCAGACAGTGGAGTCCTCCCTCAGGCAAGGCAGGCAGAGTCTGCCCACAAGCAGCAGGGTGGGTCAACAACAGCAGTCTGTAGCTCGGGAGCTTAGCGAAGCAGGCCTGGATGGGATATTAAGTGCAAACAGTGCAAGATGACAGGATCCACCAGCCTCAAGGTCAAGCGATGTACACACCAGCAGTGTGGTGAAGCAGGTCTCCACAGAGCCTTAAGCTCTAGCAACATGGGTCGGCCTGGCCCACAGGTAGTGTAGCTCACAGGTTGAGGTAGAGAACTAGCTAAAGCAACATGCTCCAGCACACTCCAATCACTGCAGCGCAAGAGAGAGAGCCATTTATCTCTTTGCGCGCCAATCAAACTGATCGGATTAAGACCACGTGTTCCTATTGGCCAGGGTGGCACAATAAACCTACTTATCACAGGTTGTGGCAAAGCAGCTCTAAACGCACTGCCATTGAATTGACTCCGACTCATAGCGAACGTATAGGGCAGAGTAGAACTGCCCCCGTGGGTTTCCAAGGCTGTAACTCTGCACAGAAGTAGAAAGCCTTGCCTTTCTCCCTTGGAGTTGCTGATGGTTGGAACTCTGACCTTGCAGTTAGCAGCTCAGCGTGCAACCACCATGCCATCAGTGCCATCAGGGCTCCTTTTAAACCATGCCGCGCCCCCTTACTCTGCTCAAGAGTCTATGTATAGATTGGTCTATGCATAGATTCTGAAGGAGTCCAGAGACATGTTCTGGCATTCCCATTCTTCTCAGGGTTATCCATGGGCTGTTATGATCCACAGGGTTGGATGCCTTGGCATAGCCAATGAAACACAGGTAAACATCTTTCTGATGTTCTCTGCCTTCACCAAGATTCTTGGGACATCAGCAATGAGAGCCCTCATTCGACCTCCTCTTCTGAACCTGCCCTGAATTGCTGGAAGCTCCCTGACCAGGTCCTGCTCTGACTGTGGTTGATTGACCGTCGGCACCATTGTACTGGCATGTGATAGTAACGATTTTGTTCCCTGATGTCGGCATTCTGTCGAGTTGCCTTTCTTTAGATTGTGAACCAAACTTGAGTGAGTCCTTTCCAGCTGATTGTCCGGGTCTTCCAAACTTCCTGGCATAGCCGAGCGAGTGCTTCAAGTGCTCCCTACATCAGCTTGCTCAGGCATTTCAGGTGGTATTCCATCAATTCCTGGAGCCTGGTATCTCACTCATGCTTTTCAGCGCGGCTTGAACTTCTTCCTTCAGGATCAATGATTCCTGATCACAGGCCACTTCTTGAAATGGTTGCTATGTTGACCGGTTCTTCTTGGTACTGTGACACTGTATTCCTCTCATCATCTTTTGATCCTTCGGTCAATATTTTGCCCATAGAATCCTTCAACATTGCAACTCCGGGCTTGAATTTTTTTCTTCAGGTCTTTCCGTTTGAGATACGTGTTCTTCCTTTTTGCCTTTCTAGTTCCACGTCCTTGCAGAACCCATCGTAATGCTTGACTTTGTCTTCTAGAGCTGCCCTTGGAAGTTTTCTGTTCAGCAATTTTACTTCATCGTTTGTTCTGTTTGCTCTCGCCACTCTGCGTTGAGGAGCAAGTTTCAGGGCCTCTCCTGGCATCTACTTTGAGCTTTCCTTTCCTCCCTGTCTTAGGAATGGCCTTTTGCTTTCTTCATGATTGCTTCTTGATGAAGGATGTCCTTGATGCCATCTCGCAGCTCATCTGTTCCTTGGTCTTTAGTGGTCCTTGGATCAAATAGGTTGTTGACACCATTCTTCACCTTTTCGTTCCCAGCATAATAAACTAGACGATGGTCCGACTCAGATTGGCCAAGACCAGTCCACTTCAGCTCACGAATGCCTGTGTTCCCCTTCATTTTTGATGACTTCCGATTTTCCCAGATTCATACCTTGTACATTCTGCATTCCAATGTCTCAGAATGTCGGCCTCTGCTCGTTCCCATTTTGAGTCGTGCCCCGTCGGCAGGTGAAGGTGTCCAGACAGCTTTAGTTGTCTGCATCAAGGCAGACTCTAGTTTGAGGAGGGAGTCCCCCCCCACCCCCCCACGTTGGTTCCAAAGTGAGGGGCCAATCTTCTCGCATCATATCAGACACCGTCCTACTGATATTTATAACGTGTTCGCTGGCTAATCCTTCAGAAGTGGACCAATTATTCCTTCTTCTTGGTGCTTAATCTGGAGGCTCCACTGAAACCTGATCACAGTAGGAGACACTGTGGTATTTGACACACCAGTGGCATACCGTCCAGCAACACACAAGCCACCAGAGGACAGCCAACTGCCAGACACATGCTGGTTGGGGACCCATAGATGGTGGTCCATCCTAGGAGAGGGGGGGAGTGATGTGGTCACCCATGTGTCTGCTTTAGTGGACAGTCCATTGGAAGGACCAAGACTGAGCATCATGAGGAGGCTGGGCCAGTTGTCAAGGTGAGAGGTTGATGGCAGGACTGAGACGGATCAGAGTTTGGGAAAGAGGGAGACACACAGGACGCTGTGAGCCAGCCACTTAGACCAAGCCCCCACAGGCAGGACAAGAGATACCCACCAGGCTGCTCCCTGAACAGGCTTGGGGTGTCGCTGCTTGTCCCAGGCTGGGCCTGCAGGTCCCCACTCGGAAGTGCTACAGAAGGCTCACCTTCTTCCTTCCTCCTTATCCTTTAAGCCCCTCGTCTCGACCCTTTACAGGTGTGCCCGCAGGAGGCACAGAGGGGGACGCTGCCCCCAGTCTACGCCCTGGAGTTGCTGACCATCTTCGCCTGGGAGCAGGGCTACAAGAAAGATGCCTTCAGCCTGGCCCAAGGCCTGCGGACCGTCCTGGGCCTGATCCACCAGTATCAACACCTGTGTATCTTCTGGACCGTCTACTATGACTTCGAAGACCCTTCGGTCGGGCAGTTCTTGAGGGACCAGCTCAAGAGACCCAGGTACCCCTGTCACCCAGGTACCCCTTCCCGGAGGCAGAGCCACAGGGATGTAATTAACCACCATGGAAGTGGTCATAGCAACTGAGGGCTTGGATGGGGGCCTGAGCCCAGAGCGACCCTTGCATTTTCTAAATCAGTGGCCCCAGCCTCGCACTGGAAGCACTGAGAGAGATTTTAGAGTCCCTGTGTGGTGCTAGCAATAGACACCTAACAAGAAGCACTCGGCTACTCGCCACGAGGTTGGTGGTTCTAATTCAGGCCAGCGGTGGCTCGCAATAAAGGCCAGGCAATCTCCCTCCAAAAGATCAGCCCATCAGCTGAGGACAGACCATTCTACTCTGACACACGTGGGGTCACAGAAAGACAGAATCTTGACAGTAACCGGTACGAGAGGGGGGTCTTAAACTAGATCGACGCGCTGGTACTATAGTAGAACAGGCGCTGGTACTATAGTAGAACAACTATATCAGGTGCCGAGTCTGTTCCGATGCCTAGCAACCGGATGTGCAGCAGAAGGAATCCAGCCAGGTCTCCCGCTCCGTCCTCACAAGGCATGTCTAGGTGTGACCCCATTGTGGCGGCCCCAATCCAGCTCGTTTCGTCGAAAGCCTCCCTCCTCTTCACTCGCCCTCGACTTTACCAGGCATGATGCCCTTCCTCTGGGACTGGTCCCTGCTAGTCACATGCCCAAAGTCTGTGAAATGAACTCCCACCTTTCCCGATTCTACGCCATCCTTCTCAGAAGCGGTTGGGAACACGGTGGCGTGGGGTCTCCGGCACCTCGGGGTGACCTCTTTGCTAAGGGCTGTGCAGCAGATTTACCCGATGCCCCGCGTCACCCCATCCCTTGACTGTGGTTCCCATTGGCATCCACCGTGGCTCCGGGTGAAATGAAATCTCTGGTGATTTCCGTCTTTCTCTCTGTTTTCCGCGATGACGTCGGCCGGTCCAGTTGGGAGGGCTTTCGTTCTTAGAGGCCCATTT